CAATCTGAAGAATATGCAAAAAGTGAAGAACTTGAGCAAACTTAGGACAGCTAGTAAGTAAATCCAAATTATTATATAAAACAATTTTCTATAAAATTATGACATATTATAAAAATACAAGAAAAATGTAAAGCTGCACCAGCAAAACTGTTATTAATATATTAAAAATGTATTACATTATTACAACTACATTATTATTTTGTGAGAGATCCTGGCTGATTGCTGGTTTCCAGCTGTTGTAAATGATTTAATTATTCTAGTGAGCTAAAGTTAGTTGTACAAGACTGTAGAGTGTAAATAACAATTGAGATCATATGTGACCCTGGAGCACAAAAGCAGTGTTAAGTCGCTGGGGTATATTTGTAGCAATAGCCAACAATACATTGTATGGGTCAAAATTATACATTTTTCTTTTATGCCAAAAATCATTAGATGGAAAGCTTATGTATTCAGCTTTCAGATGTTGTATAAATCGCAATTTTGAAAAATTGACACTTAAGACTGGTTTTGTGGCCCAGGGTCACATATTCTGTCCTAAAATAAAGAGATGGAGACATAGAAAAGCCATGCAGAGCAAATAAGCCAACAAGCTACATTTACTGCATTCTCATGCCGCTGATTAACACATAAATACAGAAAACAACATTTTTGACCAGTTTGGTTCCCAATTTAACAAATGTTCAGTACCCTCTGTTTTCTTTTAAGAACTAGCCCAAAGACTTTGTGAGCGAGCATCCTGAACCAGTCGAGCTTGTTAAAAGCTGTGTTTGTAGAGAGACAGCTATCAAAGCAATGGTGTTACAGAGTCAAAGTTAAAATGACCTTCCTTTCCTTAACCAGAGGCGGACAAAGTACTCAACTCCATTACTTGAGTGAAAGTACAGATACTGCTGGTCAAACATTAGCAACACAACTGTAGCTGTACAACTTTACAACAGCAACACTGCTTTAACAAAAAAGCAAAACAGCAAGACTTATTTGAAATCAAAACAAACATTTTAAAAATGCTGTCTAAATGCTCTCGCGGTACTTTGATGTCACACACAGAACGGTCTGTGCAGTGCTGCTTCAAGTCCAACACCTATTGTGTTTTATTAGGAGATGCACAACAGTTCTTCTGTGGCTTTATAGGTAATATTTTCACTTACACAATTTAGCAAAATCAGACAATATTGTGTCTAATATATACCACAATATTAACTTCTTATTATTGAATTGTTGTAAATAAATATCACATTTGCAACTGGTCAGTGTTCAAAAAATGCTAGGAAATCTCCTCATGTAGCCCTACAAGAGTGATTACTGATAAACTGTCTGAAAAAAAGAAAGTCACATTTTAGAGAAGAAAAAAATCACCCACTGACTTTCAAAGCTGCTAAATAGTAACGACTTTCTACTTCGAGGACTTTGATAGAAATGTAGTGGAGTGAAAAGTACAATATTTGTCTTTCAAATGTAGTGAAGTTAAAGTCATAAGTTCCCAGAAAAAATAATACTCAAGTAAAGTACAGATACTCAAAAAGTGTACTTAAGTACAATACTCAAGTAAATGTACTTAGTTACTGTCCGCCTCTGTCCTTAACGTTAAACTCTTGCTGGTAATACACATCATTCAGGTTCTGTTGAGGGGCCAAAGAGTCCTTAAACTAATGAAGCCTTAGTTAAACTCAGGCTCAGATGAACACATTTCACTCTGAAGTCCAAAGAAAAAATTTGTAAATTATATTTTGCATGAAAAACAAAACTACACCTACTTGAGGACTATTATGACTTCATTACAAAATAAGCATCTTTTGTCTGTTTACTGTAATGCATCCAGATATTTTAATTAATTAAAAAAAAATGTGTATTTGTATGTTTAAATCTTATTTGGCTCAACAGAATTATTACTCAAGTTTTTTTTTGTTTTTTTTCAGTTCAACGGTTATTTTTGATTAGATTTTTTCTATTTTAATACTGTAATTCAATATGAGTGTTAAAAACTACTTTAGTAGTTTCATGTTTCATGAGGTCATTCTCATGAAACTTGTCCGGAGCATGTCTGCATCACATTTCATCCCAAAATCATAAAGAGTAAACATCAAGAAATTGTACAGAAAAAAATGTAGGACCATTTATATATATATATATATATATACATATATATATATAACAAAGAGTGAAAAATTTAAGGGGGTCTGAATACTTTCCGTACCCACTGTATATGTATGTATGTATGTGTATATATATACATACATCTATATACATACACATATATACATACATACATCTATATATACACATACATATATATATATATATATAGATAGATATATAGATAGATAGATAGATAGATATTTGTTTTGCATTTTGATATTATTTTCATGACAAATAAGCACATTTTCACACCAATTTTCTTATTACCATAATGCATCCAGAGTTCTTATTTTTGAGTTGTTGTTTTTTTTTGCCAATTTGCCATTATTCTCAATGCTTTTGAGGCTTAAAACTTAAAAAATAAAGTAGAAATGTTGTCTTGGCAACTAAATGAAAATAAGATTTAAGTACTAAAATTACTAACACAGAAAAATATATAGAATTTGTTGAAAAAAAACCCACAAAACCACAAAATTTCTCAAAACTAAAATTAAAATTGAAACCGAATATATAAAAATAAAAGCTTATAATAGTATATAAATAATACTAAAATAACATTGAGTGTAAAAAAAAAATGTTTAATGTCATTATTCTTTGCTATTTTAACATTTTCAGTACTCTAATCAGCATGTATATTTGATATTTATTTGGCATTGCCACCAGGCAAGACTATATTATTTCTAATATTAAAAAGTTATATTAAGGTTCATATATTGTCCCAGAAAAATTAATCAATTTTTTAAATTTTTTTTTTTTGTTTCAGATATTGTGTAATCTTTTAAATGACTTTCATAATAGGGTGTTAAATCTGCATCAGTTATCATCAAATAATATAATGGTGATTCTCATTCTCACTAGATTAGATTTGAATTTTTTGCTTGTCTGATTTTCTTTATGTAAAATGCATTGTTTAGTTTTTCAGTTGATGTTAGGGTCAGAATGTGTCTCTGATGTGAGATTACCTCATCTACTCTCAGAGTTGTGCCGGGTTTGTCGTCATCAGCGGAGGCGGAGACTCCTGTGATCCCTCCAACCTATCAGAGCCACAGAAACACACTGAACATTTCTGGTTTAACACACAGCGTATTTACTCAAGCTGCCCACACACAGCTGTTCTGAGGACATTCAAGGGCCCTCGCTTTCTCGTAGAGCTTAACTGTGAGGGATTCAATGAGTAACAGTAACACAATATCAGAAACTGGAGGCCAAATCATTTTAAATGTGGTCAGTGTTGAGGTCAAGGGTTGAAGACACACAAACGGGTTACATGCTTTTCATTTGACTGATATTCACTTCTATTTGCAGACGAGACATTTATAACATTTCAGTTTATACATTTCCCTCCGGTTTCACAGACAAGGCTTAAGCCTAGTCCCAGGCTAAAATGTAATTCTGTAAAGTTAAGCTAGTTAAGCTTCACGACATGGCGGCGGCGGCAACAAAACTACAGCGAGAATAAAAGTAATGCGTGAACATTTGGGCGGCGTTATGCAAATCTTCCCACATAGTGACGTAGACATGTGGGGGCGTGTTAGAACGAGCCGTTTTAGGTAGGTGTGGTTGACTCTGAACTTTTATGAAGAATATCTCTTTGGATTTGAGACTTTAGTCTTTGCAACTTTACAGATCTTCTTTATGCACCAAGAGCTTGTAACACTCCAAAGAGAAAGGAAAAAATGAAATCGCATCATATGACCCCTTTAAAATGTACTCATTTTTACAGATTGTTAATATTTATTCTTTATATATTACAGTTCTACAGTGCTAGGACATAATACATAAACATTGCAATAATTAAAATGTATATTAATTTCGAATAATAATTTAGCAATAGGATAGAAATGGATATTTATTTATTTATTTAACATTTTATGTTAATATTTTATGTATTCAGTGATTTATTTTATTCAGAACAGGGTTATTAAAGTTGAATAAAAATTAAAACCATTAAAAAAATTAGTTACTTGAAATACAATAAAAAGTTTTTTGTAAGTTTATTTCAGCTAGTGGCCAAGCCAAAGTTTCAAATTTTAATTTAATTTAGCTCGTAGTAAAATAACTACAATAAAATTGAAATAAAAGTTAATAAAAACAATAGAGACATCTTTTTAAAAAAATGTCAAAAACAACAAAATTATTAAGATTTAAACTAAAATGAAAAATTAAAAATGATAATAATACTAATACCAATAACACTAAAATATTACTAATGATGAAATACCACTTATAAGCTATCCCTAAAGTTGTTAAAGCATGTTTTGTCTAAAAATAAAAATACATTAAATAAATAGACCATTCACAAGCCAACATCACAGCTTACATCCCATCAGTCTCACTCAACAGTATTTATTTTTAATCTTTTGTAGAATATAAAATGCAATCAAGTCATAAAGATGTCAAACGTGTTTTAGTCATTCAGTGTTTTTCCGCCATCTAGTGTTTATGAAGAGTATTGCAGTCGAAACTTTTTTGACTTGACTGTAATCAATCATATACGCAAATTAATTACTAACTGATATTTTGGCCATTAATTGTTGTATATTACTTAGTTTGTAAGAAGGAAAGCTTTCATGCTGGAAATTTTTTTTTTTTATCATCCTGTGTTGGCTGAAACTTTCACTGGTTTCCTAGCAACCGCTACAGACACGTGCACTGGCCTGGCAACAAACATCACACACAGCTTGTTTCCAGCACGTGTGTGGGATTGTTATGGAGGAGAGGTGAGTGCCATCTGATACTTTATAAACTTTGCAAATCTGAATACCATGTCTAATGTTCATAATGATTGTTTCTGATTTAGACTGGAGAATTATGAGAATTGTGCCAGAAGAATTCAGGCGTACTGGAGATCTTTTAGGGACAGACGGCTCTTCAGGCTCCTGATGAACACTGTACGCTCAGCGGTAAGCTCTTATAACAATGTCTCTCCGGCAGAATTTTGTGTGTGAATTATTACAATGTTATTACATTATTATATTTCACAAATGATTTAAAATGTAACACATTGAACTGAACAAAACATTTTGAAGTAGAAAAAAATGAAATAGCATTTTCTTCTAAAATGTACTCCAACCCAAAAGGCATAAATAAATTCAACATGTATTTATGTTAATAAATGGTCTACTAATATTTTTTATTTTCTATATATTTTTTAAATATTTATAAAATTTATTTAAACCCAAGAAAATGCAATCACATATAGACAACAAATAAAGTAATTTTTTTTACGTGTGAACATCATATAACACATTTAAATAAGAAAATTACAATATTATATTTATAATAAATGACTATTATTATTTATTTTTTTTTCTTGACCCTGAAATACATTTTGAAATTTTGAAAATATGAAAGTTAAAACTAAATATATATTCATTTTCAAAAAGATATTTCACTGTTTCAATTAGAAGATATATTTAGCATATTTAAAATATATTTTGGCCATTTATTTATTTATTGCTGTATGGGAATAATCTTTGTTATATTTACAACTTCGAAACCTCGTAATGTTGGTTATTTTCACCAGAAAGCACTACTTACTCGGACCCCAACTTCAACTGTTTTACTGTAAATCAATACAGTTTATTTATTAGATATGAGGTTGATTGTTCTGTAACATTCCTGTCAGCACTTTCATTGGACTAAATTTGATCAAGTGTGTGTGTGTGTGTGTGTGTGTGTGTGTGTGTCTCAGGAACAGTGTCTGGCATCAGCAGTTCTGCGTCAGCTCAGTCCCAGAGAAGCTGAACTGCTGAAAGACCTCAGTCTGAAGTGCAAGATCAGATTCAGGTATGAACTTCATATAAAACATCATCGAGCAGCATTATAAGGTGGACCAGAAGCTGTCTTATGAAATAAAAGCCCTGCTTCAATCTTAACCCACTCTTAAAAAGATTTACTGGAACAAAACATGTGACAACTAGCCCCTGTCTCCCTGATATATTAACTTCTGTTCAGGTTTGCAGGTCCTCAGTTTCCACCTTCACTTGTCTTCAAAATTTTCCACACTGGAGGAGGAGGACACTATCTGTCTGGCAAAAAAGTCTTTTCTCCCTCCAACCAGGTCATGAATGCTGGTCCAGTGTTATTTCAGCATCACTGCAATATTAATATAGTTTTTATTAATATTTTCAATTAGTTTTTATTTTGTTATTTTACATTTTCATTTTGAGTGAGTTAAAAATTTTAATCATTTTGTTGTGTTTTTATCATTTTTGATTGTTGTTTTTTTTATATGTCAAGTTTTTATTTATTTTTATTTCAGTTTTAGTTTTAGTTATTTATCAAGTTAAGCTAAATTAAAATGAGAAATGTTGCCCTGGCAACTAGTTTAAATTAAAAAAAAAGTATTTTTAAATTTTTCGTTGTTGTTATCGTTATTTTATTTCAAGTGACATTTTATTTATTTATTTTATTTATTTATTTGTTTTTTTTGTTTGTTTTTTAGTTTTAGTTTTAACTATATAATCCTGTACTGGTCTTGGATCTGCTTTATTCTGATGCATCCTAGTTTCAGTTTTAGTTTGAGTTATTATCAAGCTAACTAAATTAAAACGAGAAATGCTAGTTTAAATACAAATATTTAAATAGATATATTTCAATATTTTTCCAGTTAATTTACAGATTTTATCATTATTTTTTTATGATCCAAGACCATTACTTCACCATTTATTTTATTTCAAGTAACAATTTTTTTTGTATAGTCTATAATCTATCTATAATCTATAATAATTTTTTGTATAATCTATAATCCTGTGCTGGTCTCAGATCAGTTTATTTTTATACATCCTAGTTTTTGCAGAAATAAAGAACGGTTTACTATGAGAGCAAAAAATGCATGCATTTTAATGACTGCACTATGTATGTCTGCATCAACAGGCCACAGCAGACACCTGCAGAATGATGGGAAACAGAGCATTTATGGATCTCATTTCAATGGATGAGTTTCACAGAGCCACCATTGAACCGCAAGATGTGATTTGCATGAGAGATTATATGCAGGTGGATAAAAAACACCCTTCAGGCTATATTCACAGCCCAATTCTGTGATGCAGTCATGCTGTTGTGTTGCTCGTTCACCCTTTTCTCCCACTCAGTATTCCAGCCACCTGGATGAGCTTCCAGCATGTGTAGGAGGAAGGGAAAACGGATGGAGGTTCCTGTCTCTGAAGGTGCTGTCCCGGGACGTCATGCTCAGAGAGGGTGTGAAGCCAGGAACAAGAGGCAGGTTGAAGACGGTATTGCCGTTTAGACGTCTCGCCCGCTCTCATTTTGCTGGACAGCAGCTCTCACACAGGTATTCAGTTTCAGCTTGTATTCTAGTCTCTAACAAAAGTCTCACTCTTGGACCCCAGAAACAAACCAAATGCCAAAGTTAAAGAATAATATAAATAAAAAACTAAGGAATAGTTCACCCAAAAAAAAAGACAATTTGCTGAATTTTACTCATCCTCGTTCCAAGATGTAGATGAGTTTGTTTCTTTATCAGATTTGGAGAAATGTAGCATTGCATCACTTGCTCAGCAATGGATGCTCTGCAGTGAATGGGTGCCGTCAGAATAAGAGTCCAAACAGCTGATAAAAACATCACAATAATCCACACCACTCCAGTCCATCAATGTAGTGATGCTACATTTCTTCAAATAAAGAAATAAACTCATCTACATCTCGGATGGGCACATTTTTGGGTGAACTATTCCTTTAACATTATTCTGATGTGTCTTTCTCACATTACAGAGGTTCCCGGGTCTCTACACGACAATCTGCCTGTGCTCAAAACACTGCGGCTCGCAAGAGACGCCTCTACGGCCTGAGTGAGGCTGAAAGAGTATGCTTCATTTTTATAATACTTTTAAGATGTAGTTTTTGCATCTGTCTAAACATAGTCTTTGGTTTCCCATCACTTTTAATGCCAACTGTAGAATAAAAGTAACCTCAACACTAGGCTAAATAGACCAAAAAGTTACTTTACAATAAGATTCCATTTGTTAACATGAGTTAACTACATTAGATAACATTAATGAAAAAATACTCCTATTGCATTTATTAATCTTAGTTCATTTCAACATTAACTAATATATTTTAAAAAGTTGTAATATATTATAATATTATTTAATAGACTTGAGCTAACATGAACTAACAGTTGTATTTTTGTTAACTAACACAAAAAAGATGAATAAACATTGTAAGTAACAAATGGTTTGTTCATTGTTAGTTAGTGTTAGTTAATCCATTAACTACTGTTAACATATGGAACCTTATTGTAAAGTGTTACCGATATATATCTAAAATATACAAAGGCGACAGTTGAGAGGACACAAACTAGGTGACAGAAATGGAGAAAAAATAGATTAGAAAAATGACATGTTTATGAAATTATTGAAATTATGATTTATGTGAATTTGCTCTGGGACCAAATACAGTTTGCTGAGAAAGTGGACATCAAGATCGTTCTGCCATCAGTCGAGACGGAAGACTACAACTCATCCGAGTCTGAATGGGAGGAAGAGGCTGAGAAACTGTGCAACTGGTCAAAACAACTGAACATAGATGCTTTAGAAACACCTGCATTCATTCAGATGGAGAAATAACATTTTACACTAGGAGATGCACTGATTTAGGTTTGATTTTCAGTAAATACTACAACCTAGTGCATTATTCTGAGATGCTTTAATTGAAAATTAATGTTACCTGTGCAACTGGTCAAAACCAACTGGATATCGATGCTGTTGAAACACCTGAGCTCGTGTAAATGGAGAAACAATGTTTTATAGTTGTAGAGGTCCGGATTAATGTCAACACATGGTGACAGTATTTGAACATTTTGGCTCTTGCTTTATCCCACTTCTCATGCATGCACTCTCTAAAGACTGTACTGTACAGTAGTAATTTACTGCAAATTTTTAATTCTCATGAAATATATACACCACGTGCATCGAGTTGCATCCAAGCATGACCAGAAGATGTATTGCATCATTCAAACCTTATGCACAACTGTTTGTGTGTTGCCTTAATTTCCAGACTCTCATCTTGTTGCAATCTTTTGCAAATTAAAGAAACATGCATGTCCATCAATAATCTGTTCATATTTTTTAGTGTCATATTCGTAAGTCCTTATGCCTCCATTTTTATCTATTTGCATGCATGCACACCTGCTAAACATGAAACAAAAATCCTCATGCAAGGAAAAAATAAAATAATAAAATAATGAACCTGTTTTCACTAAATATGGGATAAAACTAAAAAATGCCAGTTTTTCAGTTGTGATAATGTATTCAATGAACTACTGTGATGCCCATGTTTAAAATTTGTGAGTTTAATATTTTATATAATACTTTGTGGGCATGAAAACATAGAATGACCCAAACAGTGGGCACTTTTAAGGGCCAAAATAATGAAAAACATACATCGTTAATGTTAATACTTCAGTAAATGTAGTTTAAACAGTGAGATAAAAAGATGCTTATGCAGTTGGAATTTCTATTGAAAAATTACACCATGCATACATGATCAAAAAACTATTAAATGTGAAACAAAAAAGCCTCTTGCAAGGACAAAAAAAAAAGTATTTTATTTAAAATAATATGTGACCCTGCCTGGACCACAAAACCAGTCATAAGTAGCACGGGTATTTTTGTAGCAATAGATAACAATAGCCTGCATTGTATTGGTCAAAATTATTGATTTTTCTTTTATGCCAAAAATCATTAGGATATTAAGTAAATATCATGTTCCATGAGGATATTTTGTAAATTTCCTACTGTAAATATATTAAAACTTAATTTTTGATTAGTGATATGCATTGCTAAGAACTTCATTTGGACAACTTTAAAGGTGATTTTCTCAATATTAAATTTTTTGCACCCTCAGATTCCAGATTTTCAAATAGTTGTATCTCAGCCAAATATTATCCTATCCTAACAAACCATACATTAATGGAAAGATTATTTTTTTTAGCTTCCAGCTGATGTATAAATCTCAATTTCACAAAATTGACCCTTATGACTGGTTTTGTGGTCCAGAGTCACATTTTGAGTTGGGTTTAGAGATAGGAAGAATGTTTAAAGAAGAAAAGAAAGAAAAAAAAAAACCACCTGGGATGTTTCATAATAAATTGCCAGTCTTTCGGTTTGGATATTGTGACAGATGAACGGATTTGATTTCCATCGCTAAAATTTGTGCACTAAATATTTTATTTAAGACAGGTGATGTGGGCATGAAAATGCTGTGCCAACCAGTGGGCGCGTTTAAGGGCCAAACAAGGAAAACATACATCTTTGATATTAACAATTAGGCCAATGATGTTTAAACAGTGCGTTAAAAGCATGCTTATGCATTTGGCACGATCATTTTCGCTGTCGCTCGCCGTTAGCTTCGCTTTCTCCGGGTAAATGTTGTTCACCGGCCTTCCGCGTTTTCCTGCGGCTCTGCGCAGTGACGTGTCGCGCTGACGGCGGCTCGCGCTGTGGCGGAGCAGCGGGCTGCAGCGCGTCTGTCTGCGGAGCTCCGCCCTCGCTGCGCACTGCGCGGCCCGCCCAGCGCCCGCTAACTCCCGCTCCAGCCCTGCCCGAGTCTGGGGGAATCCGACGGCCTGCCTGCCTGCCCGGGGAAAATCTGGAGGCCGCCCCGCGCTTCGATCTACGGTAAGCGCGCCGATACCGACGAACCGGACCGCGCGGGTTTCATCCCACCCGCTCGTTGCACACGCGCGTCAGGTTTATGCGCGGTTATTGCACGTTTTGTTGCATTGTGTTGCGCGTCGCGGCTGGAGACGCGAGGCCTCGGATTGGCCGCCGGGCCCCGGGCCTTACGCAGGCCGCAATCGGGCCTGAAGCGCTGGGGGGGTGGGTTATTGTTTATAAATGCCCCTGCATGCACGCGACACCAAACGCCCCTTTGTTTTTAAAGCAAAGCTCGCGCGTATGCATACGTGGGAATCAAACGCGCGATGTGTTATGGCTCAAAATGGCGCGCGCAGGGCAGGCAGGTTTTGTTTTCAGTGGAAGAGGGAAATTATGGTCACAAGGCGCCATGATTATGTCCGGTTTCAGGTGCTGAAATACGAGGAAACCTTCAGCGCGCGGGGGGTGGGAAGCTTCGGCGCGCGCTGCTGCTGCACGCATTCTTCTCAAATGCATGAAGCTTCGAGTGTTTCCTGACATGCACGAAGCGTTTAATGCATTTTGCGTTGCGTTTAAAGACGTGTTGCATCATTTTATTAAATGCACAACCGTTTATTGGTGCTCATTTTTAATTTCCAGTCGCTCTTCTTGTCGTAGTCATTTGCAAATTAAAGGGACATGCACGTCCGTCAATAATCTGTTCATATTTATTATTAGTGTTATATTCATAAGTCTGTCTGCCTCCGTATTTATCTGTCTGGCTGTTCGCATGCACGCTTGTCTGTTCAAACCTGCATGTTTACATTATGACAACTAGTTCTTGAAGCCTGTCGCATTGTATGATCCTCCCAGTTCTTATGCTATAAAGGCTCCATTCTGTGTTTACTTTTTATGAAAGTAATTCTACTATAAATGATTGTTTAACTCTTTTATTCTCTTTTTGTCATCAATGGTCTCTATCAGACATTCTGGATGAATTGTGTGTGTTGTTGTGATAGTTGTGCCGTGGCCAATGAAGAATAAAGACGATGGATGAGGAGGTGACAAGGCTTGCTCTCCGTTCCCAAGAGCCAAAGATTATACTGCATGGCTCAGGTAATAAAGAAACCGTGACGTTTGCGCACTCACTCATTTGTATGTCTGGAACACTTAATGCCAATGTTGTGTTATTATCATTCTAGAGAGCATTTGATTGGACAAAACCGTATTTTTGATTACAGATGAGAGAGAATGTAAATATTGAATTGATATTTTTATAATGAAATTTTTTTTTACATTTTCAGGAATATTTCAGGAATGTGAATATGAATAATAATTCTAAATACAAATAATTTTCTTTAATAATGTTGAATAATAATTTTATTTATATATATATATATATATATGTGTGTGTGTGTGTGTGTG